AAAGTAAACATTTGTTTGGACAATGTACAATAGCACTTTTCTTATTAAGCATTACATTTATAGAATGTACTATACATAATACATGGAATTATGGAAACATCTAATTGGCCAGCACTGATAGAGACACTGACCACTAATGTTTCTTTTATCAACCAGCACTTCTTAGGCTAATTGACTCTTTATTCAAGAATGTGTTTTCATTAGAGAAGCCATGGGCAAAATCACAGGAATAACTCATAAAGGCAGAAAATATAGAATTTCTACCATCTCCTTGTGATGGGAAAGATACGTGTCAACTTGACTAGGCCATGATTCTTAGTGGCTTGGCAGAAGCTAGGCAATCATCCTCTGTTTTGTGATACAATATGTACAGCCAATCCATGGAAAGGGATGTTTCTTTGAAGGTGTGGCCTGTATCCAATACACATGGATGTTCTGGCCAAGTTAGCTGCATCCTGCTTTTTCTCCTCTGACCTCCAGTTCTTGGGAGGGAAGCCAGCAGCCTGCCGTCTGATTTGGGGTTTCTCAGCCCTTGCAACTATGTGTCAGGAGAAGCCTCCCGCCTGATCTTTGGCCACCAATCTGAGCCTTGCTAGCTTCCAAACTGCACAAGCCATTTCCTTAGGGGAAGAAGATCATACATTCTAGCGCAGCGGTCCTCAACCCGTGGGTCGGGGTTGAACGACCCTTTCACAGAGGTCACCTAATACATCCTGCATATCAGATATTTACATTATGATTCATAACAGTAGAAAAATTAGTTATGACGTAGCAACAAAAATAATGTTATGGTTGGGGGTCACCACCACCTGAGGAACAGCTTGAAAGGGTGGCGGCATTAGGAAGGTTGAGTACCACTGCTCTAAGGAGTCCTGGTGGTCCAGGGTTTAAGCACTTGGCTTCGAACCAAAATGTCAACGGGATGAAATCATCAGCTGCCCCTTAGGAGAAATGGCATTCTACTTTCATAAAGATGACAGCGTAAGAGACCCTGTGGGGCAGTCCACCTTCTCTGGAGTCAAAGTCGGCTCGACAGCAACAGGTTTGGTTTGGACCCATACACACAGGGGGCTTCAAAAAGTTTTTTGGGAAATTCCATTATCTTTTCATCCTACTTCTTCACAAGCCTTGTGAAGTAGCCTCACACACACACCTCCCTGCTTTTGCTTCTCCGGAGAACCCAACCAGAGACATTTGGTACCAAGAATGGTTCTAGCATGGATGAGTTTTCTGAATTGGCTCCCAAGCCTGGTCAGTCTGAAAGGTGCTGATGACCCTCCCTGCAGTCATAAAGAGGCATGGCTAACCCATGGCGTGAGGTCAGAATAAACCCAAAAGACCAGACTCGCTACCACTGCGCCAATTCCAACTCATAATGACCCCGCAGAACTGTCCCCGTGGGTTTCTACGGCTGTAATTCTTCAAGGGATTAGAGAGCCTTATCTTTCTCCCACAGAGTGACTGGAGGTTTTGAACTGCTGACCAAGTGGTTAGTAGCCCAATGTGGAAATATGAAAAATCCCACCACCAGTGGATCGAATATTTGGGGGAGCACAATTTTGTCAGAAGTGTAAGAAAGCTGGCTGGTTGATCCTAGTTTCACTAGATGATGTGGTGAAAAAAAGAGACATGTTCAAATGTTCAGAATCACAGTCACCAAGGAAAAGGTACTCCTATGGCCCCAAAAGAGGGCCCCACTTCTTGTAGTAACAGCATATGTGGGTGAGAAACCCAGTCTGTTACAATGATAATTGTAACTCCCAACCTCAGCTGGGGTTTGAAGTTAAATGAAGGCATTGATGGGGAAGAAATGGGGTTCTTAAACTTGGGGTGGGGTGAATGTGACATGGACATGAATTGGGGGTGGGGGAATAGGGTAGAATGTTATGGATTTAATTATATACCCCAAAATATGTTGTAGCGCTTCATTTTTGTGCCTAATTTTGGAACCCTGGTGGCATCATTATGTGTTGGGTTGCAAGGTCAGCAGTTCAAAACCACCAGCTGCTCCTCAGGAGAAAGATGAAGCTTTCCACTCCCATAAGGAGTTGGTCTTGGAAACCCAGGGGGCCGTTCTGCCATGTCCTGAGGAATCGCTGAGGCCAAGTGGACTCGATGGCACCGAGGTTGGTTTGGTTTGCACGTCTGTGGTTGCAATCCCATTTGGGAACTTGTCATCTTCGTTAGGTTAATGTGGCAACAAGATTAGTTAATGAATCAATACAGACACATGTACATGGACCCCTCCTCCAAGCGCTCAAGCAGCAGCAGCTGTAGAAATAGGGCTTTCTTCCAGAGCTGACAGGGAGAGGCAGCCCTCCCATAGAGCCAGCACTCTGAATTCAGACATCTGGCCTTCTACACGATGAGAAGAAATATTTGCTGAACCCGTCCATTTGTGCTAGGCAACCACGGTACTCCTCAACAAGAGAAATGTAGATGTTGGGAACAAAATGCACCCCTCCCCCAGCCCCCATTTGAACGGAAGATTCATGCATTACACAAACTAGAGAAACTGATGCGAAAGGCTACTGGGACATACTGTATTCTGGGACCACTTCGAGCTTTCTTCTGCTCTCACACCAGTCTGTTAATGCATTTATTACAATTTGATTTCTTAAATTTTATTCCACGAACATACCTATTGCCATCCAGTTGATTCAAAGTCCTACACAAGCCTACAGGCCAGACTAGAACTGCCCACAGGCTTTCTAAAGCTGCCTGTCGCCTCTTTCTCCTGTGGAGCAGCTGCTCACGGGGTCAAACCACTGAGCTCTCAATTAGCAGCCAAATGCTTTACCCATTGTGCCAGCAGGGCTCCATGTACAGTTACTAAAAGTTAGATGTTGATGGCAATATTTTACATGTTAAATGATTGTCATGAAAAAGGAAAATAACTTAAAATTTCCTGCTGAGCGGTTCGTTTTCTTGAACTTCGGACTACCCCTGTAACTCAGCCAAGGATGGAGGCGCAAAGAAGCGGGTGTAGTGCTGTCTGGAGCGTGTAGCAGATCCACACAGAGGTAGGCCTGAGGCCTTCTCTTAGATGGAAACCAGCACAGCCGCAGCCGATCCTCATTTGCCAGGGCTTGAGAGACGAGGGTGTTCACAAGGGAAAGGCCTGGCCTGTCCATCGTGCATGGACGCCACGCAGAGGAGGACGTGTCAGGGAGTCCGAGCCAGGGTGACTACCAGCATGAGCACCGAGAGGAAAGGAGCACTTGGCATCCGTCAGAGAGTAGCACGAGCGGCATGACGGAGCCAGTGCTACTCCTCCTCTGGGGCCATGTCTGGGAATCCCAGTATTTGGTTGCACCCTGGCACCTGGGCATACCAAATAGGCATGGAGGTTCCGATTTTAGCCACCTGGGGGAGGGGGTGCGATGGGATATCTAGAACAAGTTTTACAACAATTTGACAATTTTCTCATTTATCTGAAGCAAAAAAAATCTGAGCAGTTTGTGATTTAGTTTGCTTGTTTGTTTTTCCCCCCAGGGTACTTTACAAAACAGTAATCACCTTGCTAAGTAATTAGAAGAGATGAAACAAGCAAGGCATTTTTTCTAAAGATTGGGCTTCCTCTTACAGGGACCTAAAATAAAATAGACAACCACCTTAGTGTTTGATTCACAGTGTTGGCAGATAATTAGTAGACTGAATTCTGTTAAAATAAGAGACAGCTCAATCCCTTAGTTAGGTAAGTGATTCTCATTGTAGGTGACTGACCAACTCCTTTTAAAAATCTATTTCTTATACCCTAATCTGTGTATTCTCCTGATTTTCTCACTTAAGCTAGAAAATTAAGCCAGAGTTATTAATTGGAAAACATTTAAAGAAGATGGAGTAGGAAGTGGAGAATATTTGTGCATAGAATTATAAAACTGGGGGCGGGGGGAGGTAGAGAGCAAGATAAATACTATCACATCTCAAAATCAACAGAAAGATTCCTTTTCTAATTTACTGGGGAAATTTAGGAAAGCCAAAGTAGTAGTAGCTACTAATTGAACAACTGAAAGAGAGGAAGAGAGAGACATTAGTTCTGTGGAAAGTTAAACTCATAAAGCTGTAAGGCATTCTGCTTAAGTGTCTGGAACACACACTGAGATAGAGCTTAAGGAAACCGGGCTGCTTCAAGTTAAATTATAAGTACATCAGAGCTGTGACATGGCTCTAGAGAGGGGAAGCGACTAAGCATATGCACTGCAAAATTCAGCTTGCCTTCTTTCCGCCTTAAAGAATGTGTTAAAAAGCGATTCTTAAGATATAAAAGGTAATGAACTGCACGGTCACACTGAATTTCATTTCCTTATTCAGCAGAATGTAACAGAAAGAAAAGTCAGATTTCAGAATGTTGCAAGTGTTGGATTTCTGAAGCAATGTGTTGTTACACAGTGTGCCCTAAGAAGTGATCATCAGCCACACTCTGGGCTATTAGACCATGTCCTGGAACCTGCCTGGTTGATCTCTTTCTAAAGGAAATTCAAGAGGAGTGGCAATTTTCAGAACATAAATACAAATAAGAGAAATTAAAATGGGTAGTTAGTACTGGGATGCACGAGTCTTCAAACAGCACCCAGGATGGACATGTGGGTTGGAACAGTGCTATGATAACGTTTATGGACAATTCTATCATGTACAAAATGTTGAAAAGCCTTCATCTTCACTATGGCTACCGACCCAAAGTCAATAGAGAGAGGACGTGGCTGTATGTGCCAACACACAGATGCGGTCTGACGCTGAACGAGAGGAACAGCATTCTACCCTCCGACTCTTTGCAAAGAGTTCAATGGAAACTTGACAGATTTGTCATACTTTCAGAACGCATGTACCTGGTGGGGGTGTTTAAAGAATCAAAGTATGAAAATTGAATGATGTCCACAGGTAAGGGGTAACCCTAGAGCAATGTCATTTGCCCCTCACCATCAGAGCAAAATTATGCAACCGAGGCATGCTGTAGAATGTATTCGTTTGAGGAAATTAAAAACTAGCACTAGAATCAATGAGATTCACACAACAAAACAGCATCTTTAATTTAGCAGGCCATCTGAGAAGGCGACTTACCCAGGGCTTCTTAGAATCAAACATAAAGTAACAGTATAGTTGACAGATTGCACTACACGATTTATAGAAACAAACACCAAGATGTAATCTTCTAGTCATTATATATGTGCATGTCCATGTCTGTTTTTATTTTGCTTTTTAAGCTACCACTGAGGTACCATTGAAGTCAAAATAGGCACTCTGATAGTACCACAATTCAGTCGATTTCAGGGTAGATTCAGTGGCCTGTTTCCCTTCCTCAAAAGCAAAAGGTGAGTTGGTGACAACTAATCATTTCTAAACTTTTTCTTGGTCCTTATCTAAAACTTTTGGAATGTTGAGTGGTTTCCTCGTTTTGGTAAAAGGCAATGAATGTGACGAACGATGTCAAGACCAAAAGATTTCTGGAAGAAAAATATTATTTGATGAATGTGACAGTAACAAAATCCCTATGAGTTTACAGACAAAAAGGGTTTCATTTGTTCCAACCTCATCATTCTAGAGGAAGGATCCCATGACCAACCTGTCGTACCAGCTCCAAGGGTTAAGATGGCTGGTCTTTCCTTTGGACCTATACGAGTGGGTGACTCTTCACTTGATTGCAACCGCTGGCACCGATGGGAAGCACTCTGGCATGGCAGCGTGTTAAGGTCTTTTGCAAGCGATTATGTTCAACCATGAAAGCCTAGTGGAGCATCGGTCAATGTTACTATACAGAGCTGATAGTAGTTGAAAATCAATGTTGCCCTCACCAAAGTTTTCCTGCAAGGACATTTACTTATATAGACATGTTAAGTATAATTCAAAATATTGCCATCCACTTTTAAACAATAGCTTGACCTGTCAATGAGCTAAGTATCTCTATAAAGATTTTATACTCAATCAAAAATGTTACAAATGCATTTGGTATCTCTTTAGGGAGCTACCAAGATCAGGAAAAGTTGCCTAACATTAAGATGATGTGAAGCTGACCTTTATTTCCCATTTCAATGTGACATCTTTAATAGGGTTAGCATGCATTAGTGTCTCCTTAACAAGGAAGTGTCAGCACTCAATGCAATGCTCAGTCCCGCCTCTGTGTTCCACTGATCTGTATTTGGAACAATCGATTCCATTCTAAGCACGATGACGACGGGCCTGCACCTTCTAGGCTTCTCTGAAAAGGTTCTCTAAGTCTGAAACTCACAATTCCCTGCTCTGAATTCATGCTGGCCAGTGTGACTCATGTCCACACTTGGGCATATTGAGGAACTTCGAGCTCCCAGGTGGAGTTCCTAAACAGTGTCTATTCGGGTACATGATGACTGTCACCCTTTTACACAGTGTGTCCCTCAATAGCCTGTTTGTTCCGAGGCCCGGGGCACTTCATTTCCTGATACACGAAACCGAAGGGGGCAACGCCCCTTCTCTGGGGTCTGCTCAAGCTGACAGGGGAGATCCTGACCCCCGGAAACCAGCGTCAGGCGGAAAGAGGATGGAGGGCCGGCAGCCCTGTAGTGTGCTTTATCTTGGAGTAAACCCTGGAATGTGAGGGGAGGGGCCGAGGTGTCCCTCCCGTTTTGTTTTTGCTTCTTTTGGCTGAGACAGAGATCTATCCTATCCCTCCAACCTTGAACAGATGCCTGCTTTTTGATGGAAGACAAAAATAATGACCAATATTTAGCTCTAAATAAAAAGCATCTAGCTCAGAATTACCGATTTCCCACTAACATCCAGGCATGTAAAACAAAGCATCGTACTATAAAGCACCTGAACATGGCCTTCCAGGAAGAAGTTGGGAAAATGGGTCTCCAACAGAAATCGGGGGTGAGGTGGGGTGGGGGTTAAAGAAGGTTCCTTTGAAAGGGGTGGAGCAAGACAAGAGTGAGCGTTGTGGAAAGGTTCTGGCTTCTGTCTGCTCCCCTCTACTTCCCTTCAAGGGACACCAGGCTGACTCCTCCCTGCGAGGCTTCCGGCTTTGATTTTCGTGCTCTTGGCCAGGGGCTTGCTGCCACTATGTGCTCTCCTTCGGAGACTGGCTGGCCGGGGGCGGCTGCAGTGGCTGAGTGCTTGTGGCTGTCTTGATAGAGCTCAGGGTTTTGCTAAACCAAGAGTTTTTTGCAGCTTGGATTTCATTCATGAGAGCTCCTCTCTGATGTTCAAGTTCCTAAGGCAGGAAAGAAAATCATCGGAGTTATGCGATCGCTTTCTGCCTGTCTGAAGATGAGCATTAGAGTCCAGCTTTTTCCAGTCCCCAGACCAGTGCAGACATTGCTTTCCACCCACAAGACCCAGGGGACACTTAAGGGGCTGCTTTCTAACAAGAAACAAGAAAAGCAGAGCTGCTGGGACTGCCACCAAAAGCCAGAATCCATGCTTTCTCTGAACAGGGAGACGAAAGCTCATTTTACTTTTATCGTGCGTCTCTGTAATGTAGGTCGAAGCTTAGGTGTAGCTTGTAATCAGTTAACAGGTTGGCTTCATGTTTAAGAATACGCAAGAATATACATTACAGACTTAATTTTTACTGATCCTTTAAGTGTGAACAAGTCCCCAAGACACACACAGGGCCCAGAGCAGGACATGATTAAGGACAGTGTGTGGCACAGGTTGGTGCCCCCATGGCCGGGCCCAAGATGGTGATGGGGCCGCCCGCCAGGAGCCAGGACGAGCTTGTCACTATGTTATCCTCCAACGTCGGCGGGAAGATGTGGGGAAAGGATTTGCCAAAATCGGCTAAAGAGAAGCTCCCAAGAGAAAAATTGGCGGCAGTGAGTATTCAACAGACAGGGAAGGAAACGGCAGAGAGGTCTGACTAAAGAGTGCATAGAGGAGAAGAGCATGGGGCCCCTCGTTTCGGATCAGCTACCAAGTGGCCATTATGTCTAGCAATATATATATATAAATAGTGCATAGAGGAGAAGAGCATGGGGCCCCTCGTTTCGGATCAGCTACCAAGTGGCCATTATGTCTAGCAATATATATATATTGCTAAATATATATATAAAAATCTCCCAGGGTTAACCAAGATTAATTGTCTGCAAAATGTCACTTTAATTATTATAATTTATTTTAAAGCCAGGCGTTTGTTTATATCAGTGTTTAACATAAATGTGATTGTGCAAGACACCATGTGGCTATAAGATGCCATGCTGCCCCACAATTGGCTTTACACAGGCATGCCCTACGGTGCTCACGAAGAACCACTAACTGATGGGTTTTCTTGTTCCCCTTTGATCAGGTCACCTACCTGGATTTTACACTTGGCCTCCACCAACTGCAGCTTGGTCTGAGCCAATTCCAGCTCCATCTCCCTCAGCTGCTTCTTGAGCAAGTCCTTCTCATCATCCGTCTCCACGCCCTGGTTCTCCTGGCTTACGGCTGCTAGCTTCACAGCACCCTCCTTGCTGAAAATGTCGCTGCAGTGTTTGCATGCCATCATTTTACCCTGAAATAGCCCAAACAGAGACTAACTTCAAACCGCATGTCATGTGAAAAATCACTTTCAGGACCAGGATGGCATGATTTTTACACAGGTGCCGCATACTGTCGGCCAATGCAGGATCCTGTTTTGAAGAGAATTATTTCTTCTGCTCTACAACCAAAGCTATTTCAGTCAGCACAAACCCCAACATAACCCAGCACACCCATTCCACCACCACAGAGCTTATTCCCACTCATGATGATGTGAGAGGGCACAGAAGAACCATCCATAGGGGGTTCTGAGATTGGAAGTCTTCACGGCGCAGACTGCCTCATCTTTCTCCTGAGGAGCAGCTGGTGACTTTGAACCGCTGACCTTGTGGTTAGCAGCCTTCTTCTTCAAGTATCTCTGTGAAAAAAAGGCCTTATAGTCTCTCTGAAATCTGCTCTAGAACGTTTGTTGACTGAGTGCTTTCCAGATGGCAAGCCCCTGCCATAGTCCATGCCGTCAATCCTAGAGCCAGCGTCTGAGCAGGTACCTTTACCACCCCTGAAATAAAGGAGATGTCCCTGAACAAATTATGTTACATGGGATCCTAATTTGCTGTGTACACGACTTTCACCAAAAACACAATGAATGTTTTATTATATACTAGGAAAAAGAGGATGGACTTCAGAGAGCGGCTTCCTAGCTTCGATTCTCACTCCTGCTAACAAGCGAGGCATCCGTGAGCAAATTCAATTCCAGTTTTAGGCTCCTCGTCATCAAAAGAAAACAGCAGTGTACTTTCTAGGGTAGAGACTCAGGGTGATGAAATGGGTCAGAGCTGAACTACTAATCAAAAGGTTGGCAGTTCAAGTCCACTGGGAGACACCTCAGAAAAAGGACTTGTGATCTGCTTCCAAGCAATCTCAGCCTTGCACACTGCAAGGAAAAGCACTCCTCTGCATGGGCGGGCTTGCCGTGAGTCAGCACGAATCCATGACAACCCACAGCCACCCTTTCCTAGGAGTGCTGTGACGGGGAGGACGTATTTGAAAACACTTAGGGCCGCGTACATACGTATGTGCTTACTAAATAAATATTAGCTCTTTTATTATTATTTATTCCAGCTAGAACGTAAGTTCAAATTTCTCTTCCTTAATGCCATGTCTTTTCATTAGGCAGTCCCACCTACTTCCCCAGCATCCTGTTTCTTAGCACCCACACGAATCACACCAGTCTCCTGTTTTTTCCCTGAGTCTTTACTTATGCGATTTCCTCGTGTCCTCGAAAAAGGCGCCTTTGGCCTGTAGTTCTGATTGTACTTTCTTTACAACTCTACGTTGTTCAAATGCTTCAAGTGCCCATGAAACGTGATCTGCTCCTGCAGGAAGAGTCTAAGCTCCTAGTCACATAATTTCTGTGAAATAAATAATGTAAACAGTAGCTGCTCAATAAAGCCCTTAAAGTGACTGGTAGCATTCTTTGTTTCATTTTTATTTCTATAGAGATTTTAGTTGAGGAGAGCTAATGCCTTTTATACTCCAATAATTTTTCAGCTGAGTATTGGTCAGTGTGTCTACAGTGCACCGAGAATAACAAGTGATGGGGAGAAAGCGGGTAAAGTAGACCAGAAATGGAAGGTATGAACTCAAAATGTTAGCAGGTTTGGGGAAGGAATCCACCATCCTCATACTCATTAATATGCTGAGGCAGAAGTTTTAAAACATGAAATAAGGGGGGAAAAAACCCCCAAAGCAGGGTTTTTTTATGGCTACAATATTAGCAAAGTTCTCTTTTTTTCAGTTTCCATAATTCAGGCTTTCAGATTACAACTTTTCTAAACAGGGATGGCATTGATTGAGCATTTCCAATGTGCTAGGTACTAAGATAAGCCCACTATACAATCGACTCATGGATCCCCTGGCAAACCACACTCAGAACTAACTGTGTGCTTGTTTGTTTACTGGGTACATGCAGCTAGTCCTCAGGGACATGCATTATGTACTGCGTTGCAGGTCAGTGTTGGGGATGCTGTCATTGTCATGACAACAAGACAAATAGAGTCCAACTGATAAAGACGCTGATAATAATAAAGACTTTAAAAAGCGAGCTATTTGACTTACATCCCAATCGATTATGAGTGTTGTCAGAATGGAACCTCATCGTATGCTGAAGACTATTTGTTTACTTTATTTCATCTTCAAGATGATCTTATGACACACGTAATATCCATATTTTACAGAGACAATGTGAAATTTAGAGCTGTTAACTTGTCCCAATTTTTTATGAAATGCTAAGATTTTACAAGTATAAAAATCAAATGCACTCAAGTAAAATGCGGTCAGGTTTCTGTAGCACTTGGTCCCATGAGGTTGACTGCCAACACCGCCTCCTTTGGTATAATCCTCTCTTCACAGAAAGCAGAAACATAAAGAGCTAAATTTACCACCAGGGGGCAGCAACTCAAGAAATGCTGCAGGCTTGCTTTGCACCAGAAATCTGTTTGTTGGTAGGAAGATTGAGTTTGCAGGTTTCTTTCAAAGCAAACTACAATTTGATGGAAGAATCAGCCCTTTACTAAATACCTGTGCATGTGTTTCCCAGCCATATCCTATGTTCCCCACAGTATTCACTGTGCTTGATGTAATATGCTGAAGATTCCCAGACTGCTGTAGCCAGAGTAGGGACAGAGCAACATGGCTCTAAGGCCCCTTATGACCATAGCTGATTCTTACAGCCCTTCCTGCATCCTGCCTCTGGCAGCCCACCTCATTTTGTGGGAGCATAACTTTTCAGTCGGCAGGGCAAGGGGACACACTCGGGTTAGATAGAGGCACACAATTCCCCATGAAGATTCTTTCAAACAAAGGTGGACGGCGACCATGGTGTCTGCAGGCAGTAGTGCTGATGGAAAGCAGCATGTAAGGTGATTTCCCAGCCAGGCCCTCACTCAATCTGTGTGAAGCTGGAAGCAATGACACCACCGAATTAGCTCTCTCGTCCTTACCTTGACCACTTCCAGCTCCTCCTTGCTGGCTGCTTGCTGCTTCTCCAGCCTAGTGCTTAACTGGGAACAGATCTAAGGGAAAGAACAAAAGATTTTCATTACTAGAAAACAGGCTGATTCTTGCAGCATGTGCTCATAACTGTTTCTCAACTCACATACATCAATCTGGCATCTCTGATTCTCGAACAAACTTTCCAAATGAGCAGCAGTGCAAATGCCAGGCCCTTCTTCAAGGAGCAGCAGAAAGCCCAGGAGGGTTTCATGATAAAGCACATCTCTATCTTAATCAGTAGAGGGTAAAAAGACAAAGGATACATGTAGCCTGTTTCTGTTGGTCTTATGTGACTAGCTCTAGTGAATCCCTGAGTATCCACTTTATGCAAGGGACTCTGCTGGCTATCTGGTGGGAAGAATTCCGAGTCAGATACGTGTCTGGTCTACAGTCAAAGAAGTTTTCCTAAGAAGTGATGGAGTGAATAAAACAGTCAAAATGGCTGGAGAATAGTAACCCAGGCTGACACAGTGATGCATGTAACTCCAGATCGTGGGTGCTGGAGCTTAAGGATGGCACAGCTCTACTATTTTCTAGCTGCGTGACCTTGAGCAAAGTCACGAATCTTTCTATACTGTAGTTCCCTCGTGTGTGGAAAGTGTCATGCTGTGACAATCATGAAAACGTAATGAAAAAGGTGAGTATTGAGCCTGGCCCGGAGGAGGTGCTCAATAAATAAGGCCTATTGTTATTATTGGTTCTTAAATAAGGTACCAACAGGTACTAGGAACAGACAGAAAGACGTGTTTACAAAGCAGAAAAATTTCCCCTTAAAAATATGGAACATTTAAATCTACTGACTGAACTGGGAATATTTTAATTTAGAAAACTAAAGGTAAAAATGGTTAGGGAATGGAACATTTTAAAAAGGCAGTCTGAACTAAAAGTCTAGGCGGTTTACTTCTATTATCAAAGCATACACACAAAATTCCTAGTCTCCTAAAAACTAACTCTAGAGACCACAGCCTGTGTGTTGAGTTCAATCATTAACTTCTCTAATTACCCAGACTAAACACTGATGTATACATTATTTTATTAATTTAATGGATCTGTAAAAAGAAGCATGTTCTTTACTCTTTTTATGGATAATATGCCCTTTTCAAGATAAATCAAACCACTTTGAAATACCAAGAGCCAACTCAAACTGTAGAATACATTTAGATTAAGTTTTTAATTCTAATTATTTTCAAACAGATGGGTCTGTTGCCTTTTGCATTACTGGAAGCGTATGCCAAGTAATATTCAAGAATAGCCCCAAGGATTACTATTTGAAGATTGCCACATATAGCGGCCACCCATGGCCTAATGTGACAATGGAAAAACACTGCATTTGAACAGAGAGCACATGTCTTTCAGGATCCTGGTATTGGTGAATGATTTCCCATTCCTTCTCCCACGTACTCCAGTTTAAAACGTCAAGGTCCTTTCAATAACTTTCCTAACAAGAAGTGACCACCTTCTGTTTCTCCACTTTCACTACTTATTAGAGGGCAGGGCCTCGTTTCTCCCTGGGATGCAGGTGTACACCTTCACTGGTCCGGTTCGTGTCATTGCTCATGGGTCTCTCTACTTGGTTCCACAATCCTCATGGGAATAGATTAGTGCCAGTACGATCTCTCTGACCACGCCATTCTCCCTCTAGACAATCCCTACCAGTGTCTTACAAAGTAAAATATGAACACCTCAGCCTGGCCCGAAAGACTTTTCTGATCTGGGCCCCAATTCACCTTCTCTTCTGCAGGCCAAACCCCTGCCCAACCAAACTCTTCTCTGATTGCTAGCCCCCCGCTCTGCTTGTTTCTCCTCTCTGTCCTCCTCCCCAATCTTCCTGTATCCAAGCCATCCCTCTCCCAACTCTTCTCATGCCCCAAGTGTACTAAGTTCCCTTTCCTCTTATAAATGCCCAGGCATTACCTCCCCATTCCAATACCAGCTAGCTACGTGGGGAGAGAAAATGAGTCAAACTGATTCATCATTTTGTTGCCCATAATATCAAGCCTCGCACATAGCAAGCACCAAATAAACACATTGGTTATCATGAAACAGTTTGGCTCTGAAGTCTTACTTTAATCAATCTTTCTGAAGATAAGGAATCCATTAAAAAATACACACAATGATGATGTATAAAGTGAACTAAAGCTCTTACTGCTTATGCTGAGTCAGAGGTATTCTACAGGACAGGGTAGAACGTCCCTATGGATTTCTGAGATAACTCCTTATAGGAGTAGAAAACCTTGTCTTTCTTCCACAGAGCTGCTGGTGGTGTTGAACTACTGACCTTGCAGTTAAGCAGCCCAACTCGTAATCACTATACCACTCCAAAATAGCGTGAGCAACAAATGATATTTTTGTTTATATTACAGCAATGTATGCTCAATGTATTATCTACCTCTGGTTGGCGAGATTGAGGCAGGCTTGTTTAACTCTCTTCTGAATTTTCTACAAGGAGCCCTGCTGGTGCCTTGGCTAAGTGCTCTCATGAAAGGTCAGGGCCTCAAACCCGCCAGCAGGTCCATGGGAGAAGTGTTGAGCCTTGACAGCCCTATGGTCCCATGCTCGCCTTTTCTATTCTGTCACGGGGTCACCATGAGTTGGAGTTAACTCTGCAGCAGTGGGTAATGGGTAATTTTCTACACTTGAACATACATTTAATTGCATACAAACAACAACATTAAACATTAAAGAACAACAGAATCTGCACCTCTAAGTGAGACAGGTTACCCAGGAGAATCCTGGGCTCAGAGACAGTGCAGGTGCCTTTTGTTCTAGAAACCTGGAACTTAAGCAGTCTGCCCAGACTCTCTTAGGGGTGGCAGGATTCCTTGTCATGTCTCCATATGACCAGGAGGAAGAGGAAGATGCCACTGGAGCTGGAATGAGGGTGTTCTGGGGCCACTCTTGAGACGGGGTGAGAAACATCCTTAAGGACACAAGCCCTTTGGTGGCATATGACTGAGCTTCCTGTTGGTGTCACCTGCAGGGGGTACCGCCACACAGTCAAGGGGGACACTGAGCAATACACCCAGTCCTGAGAACACAGAGGGTAAGTGATCCCCTAGCTAGTTAATAGAGTCACTAAACTTCTGTTCTTGGCAAAGAGGCAAATGCTACCTTTGTGATCTACTAGCAATTAGCTTCTGAGCGGAGCACAGGCAGGATCTCAATGGCCATAAGGTTTCCTGTCCCTTTAAATTTGTCAAACACTAAACAACCAACACACTGCTTTAATCAAGATGTGCAACCACTATATTGGAGAACATGTAGTACCACATGTAATGAATTTGCGTTCATTGTTCTAGAAATTCTAAACACAAAAATGTCTTCTCCCTAAAGAAAAACAAAAGCAATAACTTGTACAGCAGCAAAAACAGCAGCGGCACCTTACCTGTTTATACTCAGCAATGATAGCTGTGGTTTTCTTTATTTCATATTCTGCCTTCTCCAGCTGTTTCCTGAAGCCTTCTTTTAGCTAGAGAAAGTGAGAGTGGGCCAAAATCTTAGGAAATTTGGACAAACATTGATACTCGCGTTGGCCTGACTCAGTCAGTGACAATGTCCACAGGTATAATAATGGTATACTGTCCCACCAGAGTTCCAGCTTGAGAAGCTGAAAGACCTAATCATTTCAAAAGACGCAGAAATCTCACTCTTCCTCTGTGAAGTTTAAGACAAATGAACAATCCCATGAAAAAAATGCTTATGCTATTAATTTTGTTAACATATCACTAATGCAGTTTCTACAATCCTTATCCTGATAGGAATCTAAAAACATCAAGGCAACACTGGATGGTAAGCTTCTTAATCTTTTAAGAAATTTTTAATAAATAATTTTATTGGGGGCTCTTACAGCTCTTATTATTTTCTTATCTTGGAGCTCATGTAAGGTATGAAAATAATACTCATTTATAATTTATCAAGGGTTCATGCAGCTAGGAAAGCGGGGAAGGGAGGAAAAAAATGAAGAGCTGATACCATGGGCTCAAGGAGAAAATGTTTTGAAAATGATGGCAACGTATGTACAAATGTGCTTGACACAATGGACATATGGATTGCTGTGACTTTTAAACATCTTGATGTTATTGTCAATTACTAGGGGGGAAGTGCAGGCCTTGTTATTCATAGGCTGCTACGGTCACTATTGCCACTTCTCTAGCGACTCGGGGGACTGGAATGGGAGCAAGATGAAGACAGGAGCCCTTGGGAAAGACAGGCTATCCAAGGGTATTTAAAGCAGCTTGAAAGGAGCGAACACACTTGGTATGGTCACCAAAGGTTTCATTACAAGAGCACTCTAGCGTCACAGTTATTTTTGTGGCTTAGAAGCTGTCGCGTTCTAGAGAGGGCCAGGTAAGGTGGTGAGAAAGCTCAGCTGCCAGCAGTTAAAAGGAAAGCATTCAATCCCGACAGCTTTTGAATAATCAATCAAACAAAAACCAAACTCTGCTTGACCTGTAAGTGCGTAATCGAAAGAAAGCTGAAGTTCACAATGCAGTGTTCCAAATTATTAATAGGGTGCATGTTCAACTTGTTAATTAAAAAAAAAGTAAAAAACAAAAACAAAAACAAAAAAAAACTTGCTAATTCAGATTACTGTAATTTATCATTAATTTCTGACCATCAGCAGATTTCTAAAATACCGTTATATCGGCTACACTGGACAAGTAATTTGTAAGTTAGACGGACTTAAACCTCCTGGTGTATATTAGTCTCTATTCTCTAGCTGCTGGTGCTGTGAGCTAAGCAATGAGCCACTAACCGCGAGGTCGGTGGGCTGCTCCCATATAGCTTTTTGGAAACCCTAGATAGGGCCACTGTGAGTTGGCACTGACTCAATGGCAGTGGATTTATTCTCCTGCTTAACTCAATGGAAACAATACTCTTCTCATGATAATGCCCCACTGACGTTAGGACAGGTAGCTGAACGGCTTGGCATAGGTAACATTTAATTTATTTAACCCATAGCTGCTGCTTCTGACAAATGAGAATAATTCCTACTCACAGGGCACCCTTATGAAGGAGATACGATTATGGGGAGTGCAGAGCCCCTGGCGTTGTTTCTGGTGCACAGTGGCGAAGTGTGCAGGTCCCGATATTCATGGGTCACTCCGTGTCTGTGGAACCGTGAGGGCAGGCAGAGCACAGGCAACTCACAGTTCATTTGTCAAGAGCTTGGCCTCCACCTGACGTCCAATAGTGACCCAAAGAAGGCCAGAGATAAGGAAATAGAACTCATCCAGACACCTACATAATCCAAAAGTTGGATAGTCTACCCTTGAAATCTTCCGATTCAGTGAAAAGGACATTACAGTAAAGGCCAATGATTCCGTTCACTATTTTCTACTGTGGGGATAACCCATCACTAAACACTGTATAATTCCACCAACCAAAACAGTTCACTGCCAACTGACTCAATACTGACTCATAGCGACCCTATAGGATAGAATAAAACTGACCCTGTGAGCTTCCAAGACTTTAACTGTTTATGGGAGTAGAAATCCTCATCTTTCTCCCATGGAGTGCTGGTAGTTTTGAACTTTGGACCTTGAAGATTTCAGCCCAACACGTAACCACTACATCAACAGGGTTCCTCTGTATAATATCTGGAAGGTGCTAACTAACACACCCTTCTTTTATGTGTAACTTTCTGAAATTTTTTTCTTGATTATTGAATATGGGCCTTTGCAATAATTTGTGCTGTTATATAGTATTATGAATGCCTCAGAATAAGACTCATTAAAACATTTAAGTTAAAAATCATGATGATTTAAGAAGGTTCTTTACTTTATGTTAGTTGCATTAGTAAAAGTCAAACATGGCGTTGGCAGTGGATTCCACTTGGTTGTGCAGCAAGTCCACTCTGTGTCAGCCCCTGGCGAATGCTGACAAGGATGGGGAGCACTGGTGAGGGCAGCTGCTCAGCCTTAGAGGAACCGGAAGTTTGACCCATTGGCCTGAGAGGCCCCTCCCATTCCTGTGCTGCACTCCTTTACAATGGTGTTATCGTCCAACTGATTATCCTCAAAATTCACACGCAGACTATAGAGTACTCACCTCAAAGCAAAGGGTTTCTTTTTATATCCCCAGGGAGCATAGGGTTTGGGTGCTCTACCAAGAACACGCGTGCTTCTGCCCAGGCACAGCTCAGGAGAATTAAGCAAGGCTGACTGAGGCAGAGGCTATGCAGCAACTCCCAAAGAATGCTCAAGCAATGCATCGGAGACGTCCTTTCTCCTGGAGATCCCACAAAAAGAAAGGCCCCTACATAGGCCCGTTACCTGGGCAGTCTCTTCCTCTTGCTTCCTCTTCTCCTCCTCAGTCTCCACCAGCCTCTGTTTGGTCAGGAGGAGCTCCTTATTCAACACGTCTGCCTTGTCTTCCGCCTGCGAAGGAGGGCATGTCGCAGTCACAAAGAGGGTGACGCCAGGGGGGGTGCTCTCTCCAAACCATCCCAGTTGATAGTTTGTGCGCCAATATTACCACAAGCCATTCTTTCCCTTCTGGCTCCCTCAGGGGGTGACAGTCTGAATGCCAACCATACCAGACACTTGGCATACAGTATCTCTAATCCTCAAAACAGTACTGATTGTACAGAGAGTGAAACGTGAGGTTTGGGGAGATTAAATAACCGTATGGAGGTCACAAATCTAATATCAGAGCGGTGATCTGAATTCAGACTTGCATTCCATCAAAGTCCTGTTCTGTCTAACACCTCTAACACCTCTTAAGCATTTTCCCCAGATGTTACAGCAGTGCTCGCTTGGAGCCTGTGACTGGATCTGATGAGAGAAGACCTCAGGGAGAAGCTCCTGGCTGGGGGAGGGCAGGGTACATTCAGAGACGGTGATTGGACAGGCTGAGCATGGACAACAGGTAAGTGAGGAAACTGACTCACACAGGACAGCACTGAGGAAACTGACTCACACAGGACAGCAAATACAGTGCGGAGAAATTCAAACCAGGAGCCAGTGGTATAGATGGCAATGGGGAAGCTCAAGTGTGGAGACTAGGAATCCAGGTAAGTAAGACTGTATTTCTAGAATGGCAGAAGAGCTCAGAGAAAGGACTGTGGTTTTAACTTGAACGCAACCTTCAAGAAGAAAGCATGGCGCGTACATTCAGCTGAACTAAGGTGTGTCTACTTCACATGGTGTGCATACTGAGCGAGTAACGGCATCTCCTGTGCGGCAGAAACGCTGTCAGAAGGGGCTAGTGCCTGAAGGGCATCCTGCTCCGGAACATGGACAGTCAGGGAAAAACGGTCAAACAGAATGACACCGCTGCAGCCAGGGTCCAAACATAACTGGGGCAGGCCAGGCAGTGTTTCCTTCTGTCGTACATCAGGCTGGTACAAACCAGGCCCAACTGGATGGCACGTAGGAAAAACGACAATGTGTGTAGGCTTTACAGTCTGGGCCCCTCCCCTGATCCTCTAGGTCTCAGTTTCAAGTTCACGTCTTCAGAGCAGCATTCCCTGATCCCTGTCCCCACTCACTCTCATCTAAATTCCCATTAAATCTCTCATCTTTTCCTTGATAGTACTTAGTACATGTGGGATGGATGTCTTGCCACGAGACTGTATGTTCCAGGAGGCAGGGACCAAGGCTCTTTTTCGGCATTACCACATCCCCCACCCCTAGCACAGTGCCTGCCACAGAGTGGGCATTACCTAAGCGTTTGGGGGAATGACCAGACCAGGCTCCGTGAGCCACAGTAGGAGTGGACTGCATGTGGTGCATGTACAGCCAGCAGAGGGCCCCGGGTAAGCTCAGGAGAGAGAGCCACAGATGCACGAGGGAGGCAGCTCTTTGAAAGAAGCTACCCCTGACTGACAGCAGCAAAACGTTCTCCACGTCATGGGGAAAACTGGCCAGGCTGCCTTCTGTCTGGTCTTCGCCATCTCCCCTACATGTCCAGATGGCCCAGCCAGCAGTGTGCTGGGTACTGGCACCAAAACTGCCCTCCGGTTTCCCTGTTCTCACTGTCTTAGAGCTCCTGATGGCCCATGCCCCACTGGCTAGAGCTCTGCTATCAGAGCATTTGGGGATGGGAGACAGGTAAGGGGACAAGGATCCTTTTACATGACTCTGGAATTTGTGATGCACTAGATTTTATGGTGAGGCGCCTTCCTCACAAAAGAGCATCCTAGAATGAGAGGTGAGTCTCCAAAACACAACCTTCGGTTGCAAGTTAAGTTTTCATAAATTCTAAGCTATTCAATATAGAATCTTAGAACTGCAAGTCAGATGTAAACTGGGAATGCGGCCCCAAGTCTCTGCAGGCTGGTCTGAGTGCCGTGACTGCGCCACAAGCCCTACCTCAGAGCAAGAGCAACCCACCCCCAGCCCCCTCCTCCCTCCTAAATAGGGCTGCAAGGAATGCTCCTTACAGTGCCCCCTATCCTTGCCACACTGTGGATAGAATCCTTTAAAAATAGGTATCATGATACTGTGAAATAAATACTTCCATAAGTTCAGAAATTTGCAAAAAACTT